GAGACAGAGAACAGGGAGTTTGGGAATCTGCAGAATTTAAAGATGCTTGTGATGGGCTATATTTCTCTCACGTCTTCTTTAGACAGTCAGAGGGGGAAGGAAAGGCAAATCTCTTTTCCTCTTCCTTCTACTCCTCCCCCACCCCCTGCCCCCAGTACTGAGGATTGAACCCAATGTCTCATAGCACTTGAGCCATGCCCCTAATCCTTTTATTTTATTTTGTTTTTGAGATACAATCTTACTGCCTTTGGCTGGGTTGGCCTTGAACTAAAGATGATCATCCTGCTTCTGCCTCTACAGTCACTGGAATTATAGGCATGTATTACCATGCCTGGCTTGGCAATTTCATTTCTAATCACAGCTGCTTCTGCCATGAACACAAATACCAATTTTATCCATCATCAGGTTGGTAATTCAATAGCAGGAAACCAAACTGGTGTTTTTAAAGAAGTCTAGAAATAAGGCTGGAGATGTGACTTAAAGTGTTTGCCTAATACCCATGAAGCCCTGGGTTTGAGCCCCAGCACAGCATCACTAAACAAACAAACAAACAAAAAAAGAAAACAAAGTAAAGTCTATTTTCTCCCTTTACTGGCTCATTCACCAAAATCTAGCCCCCCCTTTCCCCCCTCCCCACCTCTGTCCACCCTTGGCAGCAGCTTCTCATCAGGACATTGGAATGGCTAGAGGACTAATGTCTGTCTCATCTCGAGCCTTGTTTCCCAGATGTTTGTTTGACAGATGAGTAGGAAATGGATGACTCCTTTTGTGTTTAAATTCATGACTTTAGCATGTGTTTCTCTAAATCTTGTTTTGATCAAATCACTTGTTCCCGGCACTCATTATACCACCAAAAAATAAAATAAAGTCATGAAAGGCTTTCCCAGAAGGCATCAAACCTCCTGCTTTGTTCTTCCATCGTTTACTAGTACTGTCTCTCCCCTACCTCCCCCCAACCCCCATGAGCTCCAAATCTAACTTCACCACCTCCAAGAGATAGGCAATTAATTATTCCAACCACTAGAAGGCTTCTCTAAGCTGTGACATCACTTTATCATCACAGGTGGACCCCAACTCTCCAGGAGCTGAATAAACTGTTTCCCAATACAACTTTTATCTACTTGTCTGTGTGATAAAAGGAAAACTCCTTCTTGTGGGAAGGTGTGGGGAGTTGATCCAATTAGGATATACAAGCCAAATAAAAGGAGCAAATAAAAAATATGAGTCACTTTCCCTAGGGACCTTCTAAATGTACCTTACACCACATGAACACTTTGCAGAAATCACAACAGCTGACCTGCAGCCAGGATAGATAAGATTCTTGAATGATTTGATTAAAGCTACAATCAAACACATTCTCAGGATGAAAGTAAAAATTCACCTTTCCCAAAGTAGCCCTCAAACATATAGAACTGTAACATGAGGAGCCTAACGTTATTTACTTAAGAGCCTCAACTTCAGAGATTAGGAATAAGAGAGGAAAAAAGCAAGGCATAGTGTCAAATCCTGATCTTTGCCTCAAACAACTGATGTCATTGTTGCTGACAGCATCTATAGCCCCATCCTCTTCCTCTGTAATCCAGAGAAAGGTGTAAAAGCATTTCTGGATACTTAAAGGATTGGTTAAGTAACAAAGGAACAGCAATTAAAGATTTCTTTCTGCAATTGCTGTCACCAAAAATACAGTGTATATACTACTTTACTTTCACCTCTCTGAAGACCTACTCCTTACTTTTCCCAGGATTTAAAAATCATGTTAACAATAAGCAAATACAACATGGCCAGATGCCTTTCGTGGTCAAATGGTTCATTGTTTAAAAAGCTTCAGTTTAAAATCCAAAAGATTGTTAACAGATGCAGTTTCTGGCTGGAAACTGGGAAAAACCTCATTTAAACAAAAGAGTATGTTGTGATTGGAACTAAAAAGGGAATTACCTTTAAAGATAAGAACCACAAACATTTCCTATTTGAAAATACCCCACAGCCCCACCAACAGGACCTTTTTTGGACTGTTCATAAGAGTTTAAAAAATTGACAATGGATTGCTATCTGTGACAAGCTAGGGCCAACTAACCAGCCCCATAACTGTTAGACATTTGTTTGGACTTTCAACAAGGCCACAACATTCATCTCTGACTCTCTTCCAGATTACTCAATTAGGCCAAATTACAATTCATTTCTTTTCGATCACTGTGGCCCCAGAAATACTTGTGCTGCTTTCTTTTGGCTCTGGAAATAAATTGTCAACCAGTGACTTAGATAGAGAAGTTTCCTAAATGAACACAGAGTGATAAGCAGATAGCCACTGCTGGGACTCAAATCGCTGTTGGATGGGAAACAAGCAGTCGGCTGAGCAAAGCTTGGCTTTGTGCTCAGGGCCCAGTCTTGTTTGCTTCCACTTCTGTTCACTTTCATACATAGAGCCCGTTTTTCACCATCTCCTGTGGTCTGTTTCTGTTGGCATCTGTGGGCCTTTGACTCTATGGCTTCACTATGTGGGAGAATGTATGTGATGCCCTGGGTTCTAATCTTGAAAAATGGGAATTTTTCAAGAGCCATGGGTGTAGCTCTCCCTCAGCCTGAGAAATGGATGTGGTTTGGCTTGATGGTGATAAGCCTGATCTGAAAAAGCTATACAAATACATTCCAAGGAAAATAATCTGTTCTTAGGATCAAGGATGGCCCACACTGACCTCCGTTCCGAGAGACATCTCATTATCTGAAGAAGTAAACACCACATCCTTTTGCTAGTAAGATTTTTTTTAATGTTTCTCTTCATATTTCTTGATTTATGGCAGTATCTAGAGTTCAGTTTCAGACCACAGATATAGCATTGTTTTAACTGCCTGAGAAATTATAATCCAGAAAATTCTTAATTGAGGATTTTAAAGTGAGGCAGATATATAAGCCCATGGGACTCCCTGAAGAACTGACCTGGTTTTCCTACTCAGCTATGCCATTGCTAAGTCACATAAAGAATCCACGCTGCTGGAGGGAAAGCTAGCAAACACTGCATTCCTTGATATCTGTAAAATCTGGCCAGGTTACTAGCAAGAAAGGCCATCTGTCATGCTGTGGGATTCTGCAGCCAGTGGCCACATCCACATCCATCCTCCCACGACACGCTCAGCCCATCATGTACACTTCAGATGGGGCTTGGGAGGGGATCTGATAGGCCTGGAAATTGAAAAACGAGCAGCAGCTGTGAGCCCGAGGTCATTGCTGTCCTCCAGGGCTTGCCTTCTCTAATGTAAGGAGCAGTAGTTTCCATGATTAACTTTCAATTGCTGTCAAGAGTGTAATAAAATCTGGGAAAGAAGGAAACTTTCCCCTTTGCAAGCTGCCCCCATTTCCCTGCCTTTTCCCTTCCTTCAGTGCATGTTCTCAATCCCTACTTTGCACTATTTCCTAATTTTGAGGAAACTGTGATACTAGGATGAACCAAAACAATGTCCTTTGTGTACATAGCACTAGAAGATTTTTCTTTCTCAATCCCAGTAGCAGGCCTTTAAAATGGCAGTATGAAAAATCTTTTGCTTCCAAAGACCATATAACACCATCAAGGACAGGACTTGATGCTTTTTATTTGCATTTTCTTTTCCCTATATTATATGTTTTGGCCGATCTGATGGCAGCTTAGCCATCATCCTCTAGCAAAAGCCAGTAGCACCAAATCTGAAACATAGTTTTACTCACTATAATTGCTCAGGGGGAAAATTATGTATGTTTTAAATTTTTTGACAGTATATAGATATAACACTTCAGAAGTCCAGTCTTCAAAGTACCAGACACTCGAGGTGCAAAGATGACCAAGTAAGACATGGTACCTCATACTAGAGGCCTCGTGTTGAACAGGGGAGGGACACATACAAGCTCAATGACAAGGAGAGACTTTATGGCACCATGGAAGTTGATCCTGGAGGATGTCATACCAGTGACACACACAACAAAGAGGTGCTGAGACTCTTTTGTGTGGGCAAAGGAAGGTCTCAAACTCTGTAATGGTTGCCCAAGAGAAGGTTCTCAAAGATACTAGTGGTTGTAAGAAGAGTCTGAATTGTCACTATTTCCCTAAAGAGGTAGCATTTCTCTTGGGTGCTAGCTCTGTCTTTCCTACTTATTTACTCAGGTTTGCTTCAAGTATCTATTGAAACAGAAAGAAAGGTGGCCATGGGCAGAAATAGTAAATAAAAAATAAAAGTAAAATAAAATGTATATAGGAATGGCCAAAATTCTGCCACAGGCTTTAAGAGATGGCAGAGTGAACTTTACTTCATGAGATGCAGTCCACAGAGCAATGCCTCGTGCCATCGCCACTCGGGAGTAAGCATTCAGCAGTTCTGCTGCCTCCAAGGTCCATTCTTTTCCATCTCGTAAGGTAACAAACCTAGCTTTTAAGTAGTGAGCACCTTACCACAGTAAAGACTGTTTATTGAAGCAAGGTGTGATCACACACCTAAGAATGGTATATGAGGTGATGGGAGGTATAAAACTCCTGATATGTGTCCCTAAAAGTGGGTATAGGAGTGTCTGTACCTTTTCTCCCTTTTCTCTATCCTTAGTTTGGAATGTGAAATGGCCAGAGAGCTACTTAAAACCATGAGGATAAGACCATACCTCAGAGATGGTGAAATGTCAAGTGGCTAGAAGATGGTCACCACAGGCTGGAAATCTGTAACACTCATCCTGACCAGTTAAGTAACAGGAAGGCCTATCTGTCTCATGTAAGCCAGTCTTCGTTTGAGTTTCAGTCACACATGATTATGAATAACCATTACAGGGGCAAAGGAGCCCAATGGTGTGTTGATAGAAACAATATTCAAGGAGCTAGCACTCTGGCCCATGTAAAGCCAAGACCACACCATGACATATTTAAATCTGGTTTTTATATCATAAAGAGTTGTCCAAGTTCTGATGGTGAATTGGAGAGAAAAGGAAATAAAAAAAAAACAACAACAACACAGTTTCTCCGTTAAATATAATCACAATGACTTTCTTACCTTTTTCTTGCTACAGTATATTTGCCACTTTTTCTCAGCTGGAAGTGCAAACATGGCTTCCCTATGTTTATCTGTGAGGTCAAGTTCATCCTGAGAAGAAAAGAAAATAATTAGTATTTCATAGATTAAAATTATTCTTATAAAGAATTTCATCATCATCCAAGGACAAAAACACATATTTAATGAACTTGAAAAAGATCAAAACTATGTTTGTGCTATTACCATTAAGACAACACACTGGCATGGAGCCAGGCATGGCGTACAAGGAAGATAGACAAAGCACAAAGACTGTGGGAAATTGGACCCAGAATCATCTTGGCCAGAATCATCCCAAGTAGGTGTCAATGGCTGTGTTGGATTTACTAAGCAGTAAAGGCTCTCATACCAGAAGAGATAAAAATTAATCATATTAAAATGGTTCTCAGGCTGGTCCCTAGGGGATTTGGACATGATAGGGAAGAGTGTAACTTCTATAGTTTTGATTTTGCTTTCTGGCTATCAGGTGTTTTTGCTCTGTTACAGGGTCTGGCACTGATATGCTAACTCATCACAGGTCCTAAAACAAAGGAGCTAATTAATCGTGAATTGTAATTCCCACAATTATGAGCCAAACACAAACCTTTGTTTGTTCCTAACTGTCTTAGGTATTTTGTTATAGTGACAAAAAGCTGACTAACAGAAGGCAATTTAAAGGTATTCATTGGAGTGGTAGAGCATGAGCCTTGAGCTGAATTGCTGAGGGACAGCTCCCAGGCCTAGAGCTCAAGCCCCACGACCGACAAAAGAAAAAGAGAGAGAGAGAGAGATCTTTCATGCGATTGTTTCTAACATATTTATAAGATTATATCTTTGTTGCCTTGTATGTCCCTCCCCCCGACAGTATAACCCTTGCTTTCATATATATAATATTGGTATATGTGGAGGGGAAGGGAAAAAACAAATTGTTAAAACAGGGATACAGGAGGACCCATTGCAACAATGAGATGTTCAAGTCGTTATGTCGAAAAACGAACTTTACAACTTTGGTGGGGTGGATGGGGGGAAGGATACGAAGGGATGGGAAGGAGAAACAAAGGAGGAGGCTACAATGCTTGATAAGAAATGTGCTCATTATCTTACCCATGTAATTGTAACCCCTCTGTACAGTATTTTCACAATAAAAAAGGTATTCATAACTAATGAATATCAACAGTGTGAGACTGAATGAAAAGTGCTTAGAGAAAAGTTCTTGGCATTTAATAACTTAATCCATACTCAAGGTTGTAATTGGTATTGAACATCAGGTACATTTTCTTTCCTACAGGGGAAGTTATCTAGCTGAGAGTGGTAAATCAGTGGGTGTGGCTAAGATACAAAAGCTATAAATCAAGACATACTTAGGTTTCAATCCCTGAGGAGTATGATTTTGCTACTCCTCCTCACCTCATACCCCATGAGTTTGTGCATTTCAACAGTCCTACCATACTCGTGGACATGCAGACAGTAGATTGGCTTCAGATCCTGGATTCCTACCACCATAAGTCATCAAGCACTATTACATCTTCCTTGAAATACCTCATGATTTTCCCTTTGCTTCATTCCCAGTGGATCCACCCTAACTCACTTAGGCCCTAATAACCTCTCCCTTGGCTTCTGACACAGCCTCCCACTGTTCTTGTTTTTCCAATCCTTCCTATTCAATATGGCTACAATTCTCTTAAAGCAGTCTTTCTCAACTTGAGCTAGTATCAGAATCACCAGAAGGACAAATGTCTCTGTCTCTGTCTCTGTCTGTCTCTCTCTCCCTTCCTTCCTTCCTTTCTTTCTTTCTTTCCCTCTTTTTCATTCCTTCCTCTTTTTTTTTGTACCAGTCCTGGGACTTGAACTCAAGGCCTAGGTGCTGTCCCTGAGCTTTTGTACTCTATTGCTCTACCATTTTGAGCCACAGCTCCACTTCCAGTTTTTTTGGTAGTTAATCGGAGATAAGAGTCTCACAGGCTTTCCTGCCTGAGCTGATTTCCAACTGCAATTCTCAGATCTCAGCCTCCTGACTAGCGAGGGTTATAGGCATGAGCCACCAGTGCCAGAAGAGCTTCTTAAGTCATTGATTGCTCAGCTTTTAGGACTGATCAAGGAAGAGGAAGTGGAAGCACGTACATTTCTTTTGTTTCCAAAAAATGTGGTCTGAAGACCATATTTTAGAGCCACTGCCTTGAAAACAGAGCATCTGTGCTGTTCACAGCTACTAGTTCAGAAAATGTCATTACTTCTAATTTCTTTAAATTAATTTTCCATTCCTCAGTCTGCCTCTTGGGATCCTCCATTTATAACCCAACTTACTTTGCCAAGTTTCCTTCTAGTTATTACCACCCAACATAGCTCATTAACACCTACCCCTCCAGAGCCTCATACATGCTAGCTTCCCCAGAGGAAGTTCTCAGTCTCCTTAAGCCTCCAGGATGACCATGTCATATCATTTCTCTTGCAAGGGTTAGCAACACTATCTAAACGTATACCTGATAGAGGGTGGCAAATGTACTAGTGTTATTCTCTCATCATTTGAATACAAACCAGTTGCTGTTTTCTCTTAAGAACAAAGTAAACAGTTATGTTACTGAAACACATGCAAGTGTAAGGATGACCATACACACCTTAATATCCTAACCATAAGACTCTATCGAGAAAATTTCAACAGTAAACAACAGGGAAGGAATGAGGCAATTTTTATAGATAATTCCATTACAAGAGAATATGATTTTTGGCATGCAATTATTATAAATGTGAAGTAATTATTTTCCTTCCTTTCTTCCTTTTTAAATTTCCTGTAAGTCACACATGGTCTCACATACGGAAAAACGGGGGAAGTAAGGGCAACATAAATCACTTCTCAACAATCAGCTCAGTTAATCAAAGAGCTCAATAAAGTGTTGCTTAGCTTGAGGAAAAGGTTTTTCATTTATGTGTGTGTGAGAGAGCAACACTGTTAATAGCGTGTTCTTTACTACATTGTAACATAGCTTTTGCTAAATGAGCAGAGGTGTGAAGAAATGTATATTAATAGTACTCAATTTTGCTCTGAAGGTAGATAATTTTTGCTTCTTCAGAGATGCAGAAATGAACAATTTTAAACTGAGAAAACACAGATCAGCTAAGACTTGGAAGCAGATGGTTTCAGGCAAGAAGAGAATGTTCATAGAATAGAAACATTTAAAAATCTGTAAGGTCCCCTCTGTATAGCATCTTTACAATAAAAATTTTTAAAAATCTTAAAGTGTCTAGATATAATTTTGGATTACAGTATGGAAGAGGGAAAGAAATGTAGCCTTGTAAGAGTAAGAACTAGCAAATAATGAACAATTTCTGTGTTCCTAATAGTAACTAGAATGCTTTAGATAGATTAATTTAATTCTTATAACTATCCTACAAAGAGGTAATATTATTAATCCCCCCTTTCTGATTCAGTACCATACTCAAGGCAACAAACCTAGTAGACAGCAGAAGAGGAACCTAAGTCCAGAATGTCTGGTTACAGAGTTCATGTTCTTAGCCACAACATTTTTCATCTATTAATTGACCAACAGGCAGGGAGAATAATGTCACAGATATAAGCATGAAATGGCATCCATTAGCTGAGTGACTGTTAGCCCAAGAGGGCTGTTTTGTTGGCAGCCATCCCTGGGTTCTAAGTGTGGTTCTTCTTGATCATATGATCACCTGAAGACAGAAATCATAATATGTTCCTGACAGTTACATCACAGATTCATTCATGCAACAAAAATTTATTTTTTGCTGAGAACAGAAAACAACAAGCATTGTGATAGACACAGGAGACAGAAAGGCAGATGTGAAATGAAATACTCCTTCTAACAGAGGGACAACAACAGAGTAAGCAGTTCAGAGAGCCCACTTATGGAAAAAAAAGAGATAGTGAAAGCTTTCCAAGTAAGTGAAGCACGAGCTTACAGAGAAACAGGAAGCATGTGAGACAGCAAACAGCAGGTAGAACAGCCACTCTGAACTTTGGTCTTTCTCTTCCTAGTAATCAAACGTCACTTATGGTTTCTGAGCAAGAAAGGCGACACAGATTAAATTATGTGCAAGAATTATTACATAATTTAATTATTATATAATTATTACATAATTTAATCTAAAGAGTGCCTATATACAATGTCCAGGATATAATAAGACCCTCACTTGTCCATTCCTAAAGACTCTTTGCTCTGACTTGTTCTGTGTTAATAATGTGTTGAATCAAGCAAGCAAGACTTGAAGAGACCATCATAGTCTTAAGTATTCCACTTCACGCGTTGTTCCATCCATTCCAGGATCAGGGCCAGGCATTATAAGAGTACAAAGATGAATAGCACACTTTGATTTCAGGGCATTTATAATCTAGTTAGAAAACAAGAAGATAGAAGGCTTCAACAGTTCCTTTTCTTTTCAGGAGAAAGCCCAAATTCCACAGCAACATGTGTGGAATACCTGCTGACCTGCCTTACCTCCCCACTAGACGTCCCTTCCAGCACTCCTGAGCACAAATTCTAAAAGTCTGCACATGATGAGATCCTTTTCCAAAGAGACTTTGCATGGTATCTAAGAGGGCAATACGATTCACACAAGCTTTGCCAAGGCATCAATTACTCCCCGCCAAGTTAACCCATTTTGACTTTCTCCGAATACACATTTCTGGGCTTTACAGATTCATCATATGGCTACAGGTCTATTATTAGCTTACCTCACTCTTTTTTGTTCTGGCTCCTAGAATGCATTTGGTTTTTATCATCTTACATTAATTACCCATCCCCAAAATATTATGACACAGAAGGCCCACACAAACAGGAAAACAAAAAGCAAAAAGCAACAAGGTAGGAGGGAAGATGCGAAAGCTGAGAGAATGGGAAGGGATGCTATAAGATACAGTGATAATAAATGCTTTCTTCCCCTTTTTAAGGCAAGCAGTTTGTACAGTGAACAATGCAGATTTTGAGAATACCATTTCTGAGCTGGCAAAAGCATATGCTGGAAGTAGTTGCAGCGTTCTATAGGAACTGATGGTACCATTTCACATTCCCGTCAGCAACATATGGCACTTCCAGTTATGCCACATTCTC